GCTATCCCCGCTGTTGAAAGATTGATGATATATAAGGTTTATAATGATTGTAATATGTGATCTAATCTTATAGAGAGAAAAAAGAGAAGTATTTTTTTCCAACCCATTTAGTGGCACACGTGTTCCCTACCTTCCCTTTGATTGGTGGAATCAGGCCTCCTGAGTAGGCCCAACGCCACTTGGGCCAGGACAGGTAGGCACAAGGGTAAATTATTTTTTTAAATCAGAAATAAAACACCAAAACTTTTAATGCGGTGAGCGTGGATCGAACACGCGACCTTCAGATCTTCAGTCTGACGCTCTCCCAACTGAGCTATCCCCGCTGATATTTAATTGATGATATATAATGTTTATAACTATTTTAATATATGATATGGTCTTACATTGCTTGAATCTCTTGCCATGTTACAATTGGATCAATCATTACAACCAATCCGATAAGATAATAAATTTATTGGATTAAAATACTTAAGCTCTAATTAATAATGGTATACCTTAAACTTCAATCTTAATGTTAGACCATCTTCCATATAAGATTAAATCCGACATCACAATCTCCATCGGTTAAAAGGCTTGATGTGTAGATGAATGCCTAGGCATACTTCATATTAAACCATTGTATAACATATGTACGGCATATTCTGTTCTGATGATGGCTCAAGTCATAACGTGTCATCTAATCTTATCCACATGAGTAATTCATTCTTACCTAAGCTTTCTAATACCAATATTCTTTGAGATAATGTTCGATCGGAGACATATAAGTTTCGCCCAAATCCAAACCTGATTAGCTATATAAGTCTTTGAACCCAATTTGGAAACCTATATTATTTTATTTTAACTTAATCGAGAGAAATTTGAGCAAAATTCAAATACCTTTGATAACAAATAAACAAAAATTTCAACTATGCTTCGAATTTTAATTTCATCGACTGATCTCTTAAAACTTTTAATTGTAATTAATATTCCAATTGAACCAAACTTCGTACTTACCAAATTAATGTAAATATTATTAAGAAATATTCTATCCTGTTTGGATAATTACGTCAGAATCTATAATGTCGCGTAGCTCTGTATTAACAGCGGGAAGAGTCAATTGGTAGAGATCATTAATGTGGAGGGACATAACCGTCGAGACATGACATAAGCTTTATGGGTGGAGGTTGTTAGCTTATAAGAAGAGGGCATTGTTTTGGCAATCCCTTATTATTGATATTTTTAAAAAATAATAAAATATTATTTTATTATATTTACAATCTCGATATTACCAAATATATCCTTTCTTTCCTCCCCCCACAACCTTTTAGTTCTTATTGCCGTCTCCGTCGCCGTCCCATCCTTCAAGGAGAAGAAAAAAAAAATATTTATGTTCATTTTGTAAAGAAAAAAGTTTAGAAATATTAATTTTTTAAAATAAAATTATAAACAGTAAAAAAAGACTAAAATAGTAATCTTCTTTTCTTTTTTCATGTCCAAAGTCATCAATAATCTCCAGTACATCGACTTGTATCTATTCAGTTCATTTTGGGATTCACCAAATAATCCTCATCTTCTCACTCACTCCTATTTTCCAGCAAGTCAATTTCAGATTGAGTTCCGCTTCTACTGGATTTCTATTTATCATTCCTGTTGATGAGAAGGGAATCAAAATTATCCTACACAATAAACCTTGGCAGTTGACAGAGAGTAAGAACAAGATTTTGTAGCCCAAAGTTACAACTGGGGCAAGGGGACATCTATCAAATGAACAAGGGATCCAACTGAACGAGATTACTTGCAATTATCAACATTATATTACATTTTGCAGCTATTAATGCCATCAAAAATCCACTTCTGGCAATGATATCAACCATATCCCAGGTCGAAAATTAGATGACATTGCTGGTTTACTTGTGGCTTTCAAGTATTATATACATACCTCATTCGTAACCCTACTGCTATTACATTTCAAGCACATCTGACCTTAACAAAATTCCTAATACTGATCATGAAATAGAACTTAAAGAGCTATTAAAGGACATCAGGGGAAGATTTATAGGCCAACATTCGAAGCCCAAAGTCTCATTAACAATCAAGCCTTCCATGTGCATCTGGCATTTCAGAATCAGTTTCTTGAGTTGGATATGAGAATCCACATACCATTGATCAAGGATGCAGACCACTAACCTTCAACATAACCATTACAAGCAGAGGCCTCAACCCATGCATTAAGTAGAAATAAAGATAACAAAGTCTCTAAAATTGTTGCAAGTATCTAAAACTTGCACTACCAAATATTTGTATCACTTCTAACCCAGTAGTCTACTGCAATTATGAGTGGATGATGGCAACCAGAGGTCAGATTCCAAATCATGCTCATTGCTTAATGGTTACCACCACAATAGTCACTGACAGATATTTATAGAGAAAATGCGCAAAACTCAAAACAAGGAAAGGTTCAGTGAGTACTTGGATGAAGCAGCTTCACCAATAATCTCCACAAGAGCACTTCCCGTCCTTGAAATGGTGGAACCGTTTATTATCCCTCACAATGAGCTCCCTCCCGACGATCCTTGACATGATCTTGATTGCATTGTGGCAGTCGCCACATATCCTGAGGTTCTTGATGATCCGAAGTGGTGTCCTGGCAGGCGTGCTTATCAGTCCATAGGCGATTGCCAACCTCTCACTGTGGTACAGCAGAGCCTGTTCCTTGGCCTCCTGATCAATGTCGTGGAGCACGTATCTGGTATCAGGCACGTACACTTGCTCCTTCACCACCTTCTTTTCAATCTTCGGTGGTAATCGATACTCCCCCAGCTTGTTCCTTCCATCCAACATGTTTAAACCCGATCGCCTCTTAGCCGGAGGCGTTGGGATCTTGGATGAAATGCTCTTGCTAGGATCCATAAAAACCATGAGCTCCCCAGCACGATCCTCAAGATCTATATCACCCTGAGCCCGAGCCAGATTCATGAGCACTTCCCAGACAGCTGCTGGTGGTTCAAATGGCAATTTCTCAATGAATTCCGCAGCTTCATTGAGGTGACCAGACTTCCCGAGAACCTCAATCATCCCGATGTAATGCTCGATCTGTGGCGTTATCCCATAGTCTTTATACATGGCATCGAAATGAATGAAGCCCTCTTCAACTGCCTCAGCACTGGCACAAGCAGCTAAGACCGAAAGAAAGGTCCTTGCACTGGGGCAAACCCCAGCCTTCCTCATCTGCTCAAACATCTGCAATCCATCATCACCGAGATTGTTTGCTGCATAGCCATCAATCATCAGGTGCCACGAGTCCATAGTTCGGTCAGGCATTCGATCAAACACCCGGCGAGCATCAGCCATGCTGCCGCACTTGGAGAACATTTCCAATAGCTTGTTGTTGATCTGTAGGTCAGCACGGAAAGGGGAACGGAAGAAGAACTCAAAAATCTTCTTCAGCTCTTCAAGATGTTTAGGGTCGGAGCAGGAGGCGACGAGCTCGAAGAAGGTAGGCGGATCAGGACGGACGCCTTGGTTCAACAGATCAACAACTTCCTTGAGCTTTCCCTCTCGAGCGAGGGCCACGAGGTCGACGGGGCCAGGTGGAGGGGGTACAACAGGGGGCGGGACGTTGGCCACCGGGGAATGGCCAGCGAAGGGAGGAGGAGGATTGTTAAATGGTGATGGAGAGCGTTGGTGCTGGTTTTGCGACGGCCACTGGTTAGCGTTCCGGTGGTCTTGCGGATAACCGCGGGGACCAGAGGGATGCGGTGGCGGAGATGGAGGCGGAGGCGGAGGGTACCTCTGGAAGCTGTTGGGAGCGGCGGAGGAGGTGCTAAGGCATCGGGCGGTGAGAGCTCGAGATGGGAGAGATGAAATCTTCGGAGTCCGGGGTAAAGCACGAACGCCCGCCTTCGCGATAGCGACGCCGATAATCGAGCTCCCGGCTCGAAGGATGCCAATGAGCGAGGAGGCCATTTCTCGTCGCAGGTGGCAGAACCCTAGCCGGAAAGCCGTTTGTAGAAGACATCTTAAACTGGTTCTGAGATCACGACCGTCTATCCAATGAACTCGATAAGCAATCAAGCAAACAAGAAGCGTCCGATGGGAGACTCACGTAGAGCAACCTAAGACCACGAAAAATCGAACAGATTGTTGCAGAAGGGGTGAGTCAACCCCGAAAAGTTTGAAAGAGTGATACTCCGATTTAATTCCATACTAAAAACAAAAAAATAAAATTTAATTGATTTATAAAAGTATATGACAATATTTTTATTAAACTTTGGTTTAAATTATACATATCATTAGGTTAATGGACTAAATAAGAAGACCTAATATTATTATTGATTTGGTCTCACACTATTAGTGAGAAGAAAAATTGGTTGATTAGAAGTACTAATTAAATATATTATTATTGATGTAAATTTCAAATTTTGGATCACGTAATTTTAAGCTAATCAGGCGGAGCTCTAAAAATAAACTGACAGGTGGTGAGAGGACCGGCATCTTCTCCTACGAATACGAACAGATGAAGCCTGCGCGTCCCTCGTCAACCGCATCGGCGAGCGCCATCTTCTCCTTCTCCACTTATCCCGCAACCGCGGCGGTGCCACTCTATAAGTCCCAACAGCGAACCCTCCACCCTTCGCTGCATCTGTGTGTGCTTGTGCGTTTGTGTGATTCGGTACTCGCATCGAGTCGAGAAGCAACCGGTCAGAGGCAATGGATAAGATGGGGGAAGCTGCAGGCCAAGCTCAGGTGAGCACAGCCGCTGCTTTCATGGAGGTTACTTTTATTGCCTGTTGCTGGTGCAGCAGTTGGTTCTCCTGATCCATCCTTTTGTGTTGTCCAGATGAAGAAGGATGAGGTGATGAACAAGGCATCTGAAACCTGCCAACAGGGCCAGCAGCAAGCAGGGGGATTCCTGCAACAGGTACTGCATCTCTTCTATCCACTGGTCTCTCCCTTGCTGATTGTCTTCTCTTGAATGGAGTGCAGACCGGGGATCAGGTGAAGAACATGGCACAAGGGGCTGCAGAAGCTGTCAAGAATGCTGTGGGCATGGGAGGAACCAACACCACTTCCACCGCCACCACCACCACTACCCGGCCATGATCATTCTGCTCCCATTTTGATTGCAGTTTGGTGTTAATAATCTAGTCTTGTTCTTGAGCCTCCAAGACTAGGCTGTGTTCCTGTTTCAGCAAGTGCAAGTCTTTTAGGTCTCAACCTGACCTGGTTTAGTGGTTGTCCTCTTCAGATCGTTTCTTCTGTCTTCCTTTTCTTTCCTTCATAAATAAAATTTATGCTTGCAACAAAGTTGAGAATATATTCTGCATCGATCTGTAATCGTCATGTTATCGTTTGATACAACCCAAACCGGGCATCTTCCTCGGCTTCTGCTAAGGTGGCAATAAAATAATTAGAGGCATGGGAGAGGAAGTGGGCGTACGGCGAGGGGGACGTCCTCGTGCGGAGCGGAGCGGAGCGATCAAGGTTTTGGAGGTGCTTTCTGTGTGCAGCGACGACGGGCTCCGAAGGCAGACGGTACCAAGTTGAAGCTGGTCTTTCCCATCTGCTTCGAGCCGACGCTGCCCTCTTGGCTGTAGACAGTGCGGAGAAGAAGTTGCTGCTGCACAAGAAATTTGAGATTTAATATCACTCCCTTTCAGAATTCTTTGGGGCATGAACTATTTTTAGTTGTGTGTGTGCATAGATTACATCGGCTGCCCTACTAATACTATGGAACATATATTATTCAATCTCCAAGAACATACATTTTGGGTGTTCTATGTTCTTATCCATTGCAATTTTATTTCCATTTCGAACAGCATACGCTGCAAACCAATTCAAGTACCATGCATCAAGAATCTTAACTCAAATCCAGAGTGCATCAATTGGATTGAGTTTGACATATCTTTGATCATGAATATAATAGATGTAACATAATTTTCAAAAATCAGATCAGTTCAATTTGTACAGTGTCATTAAAAGTCAGAGCATGTTCCAAAAATTAGAAAAGAAAACCATGTGATTGATGCAGTGATATCATAGAAACAACAATCTTCGTGCATCAGACATTAAACTCAGCCAGAAAGCAGAGGATATTATTCATTCAACATCTCAGCCAATTCCACAAAAGCATCAGACGCAGAATGCTGCAAATAAAAACAGGTCGCTATAACATTTCTTGCTTTCTTCAGTTGTTTCATGGACAACGAAAAAAAAAAAAAAGTGGCAGAAATGGTGTCTCAGATACAGTGTGAATTAAGAGGCCTTGTCCATGAGTTGTATCGGCATTAAAATGTTTGACTTGCTTGTTTCGACAATGCATCCGTTCATTACCATCTCTTCCAGCATGAAGTGTGCCTTCTCAAGATGGAACATGATATCAAGCTCACACTGTGAAGAGGAAAGAAAATAAAAACAATTAGTCCACGTGTCCTGGGAACGGATTAGAAGACAAGTGCTTCAGACAATCATCATACTTGAACAATCAGAAATCCTGGAAAACTTACCACATTGCCAAAATGGCGGTCCATTGTCTCAACAAATAGATGTATGAATTCCAATATTGCTAGCTCATTCTGAAAAAGAAACGCCACGAAAAACTATTGAGTTCAAAAAGACCATGGATGATAACTGCTTATTCCAAACATAAATGAAACAAGAGTATGAAGGTGCTCCCATTTAAAGCCACTTTTGTTTTTCTTTTCTCAATTAAGATCCCATTGCCCACCAGTGGCTTTGTTATTATACACCTTGCATGAGAAGAAACCAAAGACGGCAGCCTTTAATGGGAATTAAGAAATACCGGCCTTAAGCAAAATATTTTTTCTTTTTTGGAAAAATGGGTGTCTCTCCCAAGAAATCACACAAATGCCAAAACTAAGAATTGGGAAAATGATTAGAAGTATTTGCAACTCTGAGCACGATACTTGTTGCGCTTAGTGTTCCGATGGTCAGGCCTCTAATGGACCCAACCCAAGCCTGATAATACGTGCCTATATATGCCTCCTGTGGTCCTCCATCTCTCATCTTTTTATGCTGTTTGTCTTGTTACCAATGCAATCTACAGCATCTTTTTATACTGATTTTGCGTTTGCAGTGTAGTTGCCAAATTTGCAATACGAAACGAAATCTTCGAAAAGAAATGACAAAGGCTAGTGCATGAACTCAGTGTTCTAAGATGAACTATATGTAGCAGCATACACAGAGGTAGTCATGTAAAGGCCAAGCAGATGAGTCAAGGCCTACACAAATATGAAGTACAAATGCATGTGCAGACTGTGCACATGCATCCAAACAATCTTATTTGGTCCACCTAAAAGCTGCATTTCTTGGTTCTTGTTTTTCTAGTTATTACTATTGTATCTACCATTTCTCTTATTATCACAAAACCACCTGAGTAATAGCAGATCAATTACTCAGATTTTGCCACTCTGTTAAATACATAACCATTTCTAGTTGATGTGAATTAACATGATTTTAAAAATGGGAACAATATATTAAATTGTAAATAACATTGCTTGTTAATTTTGTTCACAATCTACGACTCAGTCATATATATTTCATGATTTGGCCCTTAAATATATTTTTTAATAGATGGATAGTTCAAATATATACACAATGAGCACATTTATGGCAACTTATGCAAGCACGCACTGCGTATGCATGATCCAGCATCCTGATAGTTCATGTACTAAGGCTGCTGTTGAAATATACAAACTCATGAAATCTTGGACATCCTTGGAATGCGTATCATCTGAGAGTATTGATCCATCTCAATAGAGAAGATTCACTCATGCAAGCATGCAAGATACTACCAATGAAATAAACCATGAAAGGGATTCCTTCAATTTTATGACCCACCCGATAATTTATCTAAGTTCCATCTGAATTACTAGGTGACAACTGGCATTAAATAAGAGTGTTATCAAGTCAGATTCACCCAAGAAAAAACGAGAATCTAAATTCAATAATCTTATATTTCCAAAATCAGTATCTGCCCAAATATTGTGTCAAGTGTGTTGAGCTTCAGGTATAATGCATTATCAAGTAAATAGATCCAAGATCCATGATCCATGCCTGATCCAAAATGAAAAATCCCAGCCAAAAATTCAGGGATGAGTTTATTGGAATATCAAGTTCAATCAAGACTCAATGTCAAAATGGACTTAATTAACTTAGTTGTGCAGATAAGTGAAGCATGTAGGAAAAGATTTCCTGAGAAGGATCCAAAAGGTCTGCAATCATCACCAGTATTGTTGTTGACATGTAAACCACAATGGAATGATAGTAGGTTAGATCTGAATCTTCACAAGGATTTCAAGCTTTTAAGAGGGAAACAGATCTTTTTTTTTCCCACATTAAAAGTGGATAGTAGGTTTAATTACCACAACAAACCTTTAATTTCTCTTCAATTTCTTCTTCTTTATTCAATCAACCTCTAAAATTACTGCATAGACGGTGCAAATCTGTGCTCTGTTTCAATACTTCTTGCACATATGTGGAGTTGAATGAAGCATATAAATATTTTTTAAGATTTGAATGTTCGAATATAAGACTAAACTACATAAAGGAAATCATAGAAGCTGTCTCCTGCACTTTATCCTACCTTGTCAATCCTCAATCTTCTAGAAGAATTGAGGAAACATCAAACAAATAGCATGGCTTCAGTAACAGGAGAAAAGTATGCCTATGTGAACCAAACCACTATTAGATACTTTTAAGAATTCTAACAGCATAACATATTCCACCTTTACCTAATTTTTCCCCTTCAAGTAATGAAGTTGATATTTGAAAACAAAAAAAAAAAAGACCACCACAAATACAAGCATTTATTTCTGCTTCTTCTCTGTCCAATATCTTGCTCCAGCGGCGTTATTAATCCACAACTTGCTGATCCAATCAATTGCTCAAAAAATGAGCACAAAAAACATTGCATTTCACATCCAATGGTCACATTAGATATCGAAAGAAATGATCACAACAAAAACTAAGAAAAGAACCTAAGAAGGCCTGTTTTTTAAGGCGGCTGAGCACAAGTCATCAGCAATTGAGATATATCTGAAAGAAAAAATCCACTTTACATAATCTAGTGTTTCATTTCCAAGGTGTCAAAAAAAGCCTGCACCATCGACCTGACTAAAAAAACCTCCTAACCTCATGTTGTAAGTTGTGTAAATGATTTATTTTTCCTGGTATGATAATCCCAAGTCAAAAAGCCTTGCATCCTCTCCAATCTAGTGGTTGTCAATAAATAGTTAAACAAAAATGGAAGAGAGGTTCATCACCAATATTCAACAATGTTGCTTCTTCAAGCTTCCTCATCTCTGCTTCAAGAGAGGGTTTCAGCAGGACATTGAAGCTTAAGGTACTTGTCAAGACAAGTTCAGTGTCACCATTACGCAGCCTTTAAATAAATTTCCAGGAATTGGAAGTTAAATGTAAAAAGTCTAGTATCACCAGCTAGGGGCAGCTGATACTGATTGATAACTGTACGAGCCTCCATCTAGAATTAGCTGATTGATAACTGTACGAGCCTCCATCTAGAATTAGCTAGATAATTCCTAGCTAAGCTTCAACAGAAGCTAGCACAAAGTCATAAAGAAAATCTTAGAAAGAACAAAAAAATTTTACACTTGAAATTTGAAATAAGCTTCCTATCCGATCAAGATATTGTAAGATCATTCTTAAACCATATTTATTCTCTCTTTTTCTTCACTCATTTTAGTGTACACGAAAAAATGAACAGCATGGTAGAAGGGTTGTTTTCTTTTCGAAAATATACCTCCAATTTTCTCAAATAATAAAGAAAACAATCATTTAGTAAAGTTCTGGCTAAAAATTCTTTTCCCTTTCTATCATAAATCCTCTGACTTGACCATCTTGATAAAGATGAACACCTCAGTTATTTGTCCAACTTCTACTAGACAAAGAAATATAGATTCTTCAAACAGATAAGCAAATATGCATTTCTTATAGTAATAACCTGAAGCCTCGCTAAAGCTTCATTATGTGTCAGTGTACACGCCAGTATTATATTGCTCATGCTAGAAGCTAAGTTGAAACATTACCAGAGCATCCAAAGTCACACACATGTAAAGCACCAAATATAGCAGCTGAAGGTAACATATGCATTTTTCTTCTTTCTTTTTTACCAAGAAGTTCCTAAATAGAAAAATTATCGATATAACATATATCTAAAATGATGTGCCTAATAAAATTCAAAAACAGAACAAGATGGCTTACCTCAT